TATGTTACCCTGTTTCCGTCATTTTTTTCTATTTGTTTTTGCTTCTGTCTTTACTCTTCAATATTAAATTGAATTAAAGAAAACATAAATATGTATTCATAGTCCTTTAAATAAAGAATAACAGGGATCTATACTATTTTATCAATTTCTGAATCTTTTCATAGGCAAAACAATATTTTATTGTGAAGAGTCTAATAAAACAATTATTAACAACAAACAAAAATTTTCAATGAATTTTCTTTACTGTAAAATTAAAGAGGGCCCGCAAGACAGCACAAGGGGCTGAGTGCCTGCTTAGGCAAGCACAGGAACTGGGGTTCGATCCCTGGCTGGCATGCCGTGCCAGCCCCAGCTCCAGGAGCGCTGAACCTGTTCCCAAGTCAGGGTGTGGTGGCACATGGCTATAATCCTAGTGCCGGGAAGGCTGAAAAGAGCAGGACCACTAGGAGTCCTAGCTGTGTGGTGAGACCCTGTACCAAATACATAAATTTTAAAAAATAAATTTAAATAAAATTTTAAAAATAAAATAAAATGATAGAGAAAACAAATGAAATTTAAAGTTTGCCTGCAAACCAGGCTCTTTTTAAAACAAAATCAGAATTTACCATAAATGTAGATGCAATGAATAATGCTCTTAATAAGATTTATATTCAAACGATGTCTTGGGGTAATGTTACCTGGTACAAACCTTGCCTAGTATTGTCTAGACTTTAGGTTAAATCCCAATTAACTTAGAAAAAATACTCACATGGACAAATGTTTCAGTTTAAATGCATTTTAAATGAAAATTATTTGTTCAGAGCGTTACATTTCTAGTGGAAAAGAATGCTACATGAGGGTTACCAGCTCCAGAGTGCAAGTTTTCATGTTAAAATAACAGCAATTTAGTCCTGTTTTGTAGCTATAAATGTGCCCTCAAATTCCAAGAATGGGAGCCCCATGATCTTTGTATTAAACTGCTTTAAACTAATGGTGCTGTCATACGTTCTAAGACTGACAGATGTTTTCAGTTTTGCAGATTGAAAATGAAGGTGCGCAAAGGAACATCTGCGCAGCCTGGTAAGCGCCCAGGGTGACGCGCAGGCCGGCAGGTCTCGGCACCAGCGAAGCCAGCACCGGACGCAGCGGAACCAGTCACTGCATGCATGTTAAGAAGAGCAAACGTTGTTCGCGATTCTCTTATATCAGTAGGAAATTAGTTTTGGAGATAAACTGTGTTTCAGTCCTCTAATGGTACATTTATGTTATTTGAAAAGATGGTTTCCTACTAAGTAAACTTGAGTTTCCTAAATTCTCTGGGGACTTTATACCTCCCCTCTCCACCACTCAAGAGCAAAGTTTGGCTGCTCTTGTCACCACTGGAGATCACTAGCGCTCCACGGAGGAAGTGCCCTGTGCTGAAACATCTTACACCACGCCGTAGTCAGACCTGATTAGGGGCCTGACAAAGGAGTAAAATCAGTGAAAAAAAAAATTGGTTCATGGACTTCGCATTTCTGTGACACATTTTCATACAGACACAAGATGCAGCAAGTATGAAGCCAAACTTTCTTGGGCCGACATTGTCTCCTGCCTGCTGGGGTGGCCTCAGCAGTCTTGGGCTTGGGGAAAATGGTAGAACTGCCTTTGTGTCACATTTCCTGTCACTTAGACTGAAGTACAGAGCCGCGCCTCTTGTGAGCAGGTTCTCCTGACCTTCGATAGCTTTGGAGTATGCCAGGCTTCCTGTTGGTGTCTCCTTTAGGGTTCTTTCCATCACAAGAAACAAAAATGTGTTAAACATTATCCAGAGTAAGGACTTCAGAATCTCTAGTAAGGTCTGCTAAGTCCCTCTACTAACATGTGAAAAGTGTCTGCAACAAAGCAGATTTTGAGGTATAAAATAATGAGTTGGAAAATGAAACATTATGGCAAGTGATTAGATCTTCTCATTCAAAACATATTTTTCTACTGTTAGTATACAAAAATAACAAATTTAAAAATCTGACAAGTTGAAAATAATTTAATATCCAGCATTCAACTCCAGTGTATAATTTACTTTGTATTTAAAATAATTCTTATTGAAAACAGATTAGCAGAAAATATACACACTCAAAATTGGTACACAATGCATCACAAAATGATCGTTTACTTATTCATATTTATCAGACAATTTTTCCATACAGTGATATTTTACCTTCTAAGTTTTTAGACATTTTTGGATTTAGGTGCAAACTAACTCTTTAATGACTGCACACTGCAGCATGAACATGCACCAAGACCTGTGGACTGGAGCCCGGAGCCGCAAGCTGCCTACGTTTTCACAGAGCAGATTCTCCGTGTCTATATTTTCTTACAGCAGATTCTCCCCCTCACTCTTCCCAGGGCCCCCAGCACCTCCTTGTTCCGCAGGCTGTAGATCACAGGGTTCAGCATTGGGGTGAGGAAGATGTAGAAGACAGCCAGGACCTTGTTCTCTGCTGGAGATTGAAGGGACTTAGGGCGGAGGTAAGTGTAGGCAAACGGGGCATAGTAGAAAGTCACCACGGTGAGGTGGGTGCTGCAGGTGGAGTAGGCCTTCTTCCTTCCCTCCTGGGAGCGCATGCGGTAGACAGCAAGAAGGACCCGACCGTAGGACAACAGAATACCTAGGAAAGGAAACACAAGGAACAGGATGGTGCTAATGAACACCGTGTACTCATAGACCCTAGTGTCCCTACAGGCCAGAGTCAGCATGGCCGGGACATGGCAAAAGAAGTGATTGATGGCCCTGGACCTGCAGTAAGGGATATGAAGGGCATAGACTGTGTGGGCACAGGAGTTGACAGCACCCATCGACCAAGATGCCAGGATCATCAGCACACACACTCTCCTGCTCATGAGGGTGGGATAGTGCAAAGGAAGGCAGATGGCCACGTAGCGGTCATAGGCCATGGACATCAGGATGAGTCCTTCTGAACCTGCTAAAGTCACGAAGAAGAAACTCTGGAATCCACAGCCAATGAAGGAGATGGACTTGTTCCCAGATAGAAACCCGGACGCCATCTTGGGCACAGTGGTGCAGACGTAAATGAGGTCCATGAGGGAGAGCTGGCTGAGCAGGAGGTACATGGGTGTGTGGAGGTGGGCGTCCAGGAGGATGAGCAGG